ATGCCAGGAAGAAGCTTAGCCTCCCTACTTCACTGCTTTCTACCCGGAGGCGTTTTGTGTGTATAGAAGTCCAACCCTTGAGATGGAGCCAAGGGATTCAGAACAGATTTTCATCCTTTGAACAGAAAAAAAACTACACCGTTCTAATAGAAACACTGCCTTACGTGAACACTGTCACCATCATCAGCACAACTGAAATGTACAAAGCTGAGACACAAGTTAATCATCTTAGTAACAGTCTGTGCCTTGGACTGGCTGGCTAGGAATTTGGGGGTTTGCAGTCCTGACACATCTACAAGGTGCCAGGTGGGAAAGGCTCTGTTTGATGTTTCCTTGGAGAAACAAAGTGTGAAAAATAAATAGGGGCAAACTTAAGTTTGCAAACATACATTCGTTAGGAAGCCACAGCGATATCTGCAGCTGCTCATCAAGTATATTTTTAGGAACAAACTGGAGTTTGCTGCTGAGTAATGTGTGAAAAGGCTCTGTGTCTCTAGCATTTGTATCAGAGGCTTTAATGATTTGAGTAGTAAGAGGAGGGAGGAGATGCCGAGAAGTTGTGGGTTTTTTATCAGTCAGATTCTGCAACCAACCCTAACATGAGCTGAATAATTATGAAAATTGCACTGTAACATTTGACTTTCCCATTTAATTAAATTTGATTTCATTAGACACAGATTACCCTCGGCCTCAAGAGAAGTAGTAAGACTTATCTGGATGACAACAGCTGTATTCATGTGTTCAGCTGGGTAGTGATGGTTGCAGATAGGAAGAAGGCACTATGCCCCTCTCATGGCTGGCCCTGTTGCTGGGTAGAGTGAAGCTATAGTTGTTGGGTAATGGGCAGTAAGAGGTGGGAACAATCTATTGGAAGGAGAATTGTGTGTGGTCCATGTTGCCCTTAACTTCAGGTTATTCCTAGTTATACTGAGATTCAACTATAATTCTGGTCAGTTTCTGTAAGGTCAATATAGTGCCACCTTGTCCTCCAAACTTTGTGATCAACTCTAAGCTGGGCATTCAAGAATGTGCATGATTGAGCTTCTGCATGATCTAGCACCTTCCGTATTCCAAGTTCCAGATCAGATACATAACATGTATTGAGGTTTATGCAACATCTTTGAATGCCTGACCCCCTTATTTCATGGATGGAAGGAACAGGGCTAATGGTTGGCCAGTTGCTGTGATACAGGAGTGACTTACAGATTGCTTTCTTTGAGTTCATTCTGAACAATTGTAAAGTAGGAAGGCATGATCCTTTAGTGTGTTTGTGGTGGTAACCAAACAGTTGGTCAAGAATAAATACATGACTTGACAAAAATTATTCATTTATTTATGAAATGTATATGGCTGCCCAACTCACATAAACGTGACTCTGGGCAGCATACATCTATAAAAACCAAAAATGCAATTACAGTTAAAAGTGCAACAACAATAATTATGAGATATCAAGAACTCTCAACATACACTACACCTCACAAGCCAGGATCTCCTATCATCCTGGCCCCAACACCTGAGGGAAGAACCACATTTTTAATGCCTTTCTAAAATGCAACAAGGTCTTGGCCACCTGTACGTTGGAAGGTAGGGAGAGGTCATATCAGGGGGCAGGAGCCACAATGGAAAAGTCATGCCTCTATCCTATTAGAGTACGTGGAATGAGCAGAAAATCAGAGAAAGTCAGTTCCACAAGTAACCCAGTCTGTGCTATGTAGAGCTTCATAGGTGTCAGCCCTCCAAGGTGGATCAGCTCAGGAAACAGATACCACAAGAAATACTAGAACTTTATTGATTTAGGCTATAATAACAGAATCTTGAAAACCTAACAGTTTTTCTCCTTCCCTCCCTCCTATAGCAAAGCGTGTTAAGATGAGGGCAGTCTTGAGCGTTTTTTCATGCCTTCCTGTTTTTCCAAGCGAAATTCATGTCTACCTCATAGTTGCCACCTGCATATTTCCTTCAAGGCCATCTCTGTACGCCTCTGCAATAAGCAATAACCATCACCTTCAGTTTCATTTGGAAGCCAATGGGAGCCAGTGCAGCTCATGAAGTAGTGGTATTACGTGGGCGGACTGAGGTTGAATATGACTGCTTTTCCAAGCTGGTTCCTTCCAGACGTGTTCACTCCCATGATTTTTTGCTATCCAGCCGGGAAGGCATCAAGCTACAAGTCTGGTATTGAATGGGTTCAGGACAAAGGCAGCCATGTTTGCGGGGGGGGGGACGGGTGAGGAGCTGAAGCCCAATTTATGTTTATAAATTTTTATAAATTTATAAATTTATCTTTGGTTCATACTTCCCACATAAGGCACATCAAGTTGACAGCTTTCCCAAGACTGCTTAGACTGGTTCCCCTACAACATTTTCTTTTTTCTTAGAAAATATGAAATCTGTGTGTTTTGGCACCACTTGATTATAGCATTTTATTTGTAAAATGTGTATACTGTGTATTGCTCTTTTTGCAGACTTTTGAAGCTACCTACAGTTTAAAGTAAGATAAAGTGAGAATAATGATAAAGTATTATGACCCTGATATAATTCAATGGAACTGATAGGTGAGAAAGAATGCAAGTAAAGCCAGTGTCATTTAAGCCAGAGGTGCTACTTTGGGTCTTCCTGAAAGCCTAAGGATTGTAACTAACTGGCTAAAATTCAGAGGCAAACTGGTGCATTCGCCTTTCTTTAGAATAAAAGTTAGCAGGAAAGCACTATTATGGAGGAAGCTTTGAGTGTGTCTGTGTGGTGTGAAGGTTAGTGAATTGGAAGAGACCAAGGAAATTCAAGTCCAAGTCCATTCTCAGCTGTAGAAGCTCATGAAGCAGCTTGGAGCCAGATCACCTCTCTCCATTCAACACATTTCACAGAGTGGTTGCTGCAGGGCTAAAATTGGAGGAAGAAGGTCTGTGGATGCCATTTTGAGATGCCAGATGAAAGGCGGGATAGTAATCAAACCACAATTAGAGGTGCGCAAAAAATAGGACCACACCTGATCATTCTTATTATACAAGGAGAAATAAGAGAAGCAGCAGTGCTGTGCTGGGCCAAACTGGAGACTCATCTAGTCTAGCATCCTGTTCCTAACCAAATGCCAGCCAGACACTACAAAGAGGACATGGGTGGAACTCATGATCTGCAGCAACTGGCAATGAGAAGTTTTTAACCCTGAAAATGCAGGTAATGTGTAACCATCATGTCTAATAGCCATAAATAGAGTTATCCTTCACAAATGTACAGAAGGAGGCATTCTTGAGGCCTCCAGAACCCAAGCTAGAAACATGCATTACAATATGTGTGCTAGGCTGTATGAAGCCATACCACTTTGCAGAGTTGCCAACTCCAGACCCTGATTAACCAAGCAGCTGATTCACTGCAGTGGCTCTCTTACAACACCTAAAAGTGGGGTGCAACTTTGCTTTGCAGAATGGCTTCAAACAGGTGCTTCACTGAAGGTGCATTCTTCAAGGGCCTCTTTGAGGCTTCGCGTAAGCCTAACATCATGGCATCGTGTGCCTAATGAGAAGCCAGAGTTAGTTCTGGCTTCCTCGTGTTGGTAGACAAGATGCAGTATATTCTTGTGCTGCTATGATGTATGACTGCACATGGAATTCATATTCTACTTGCAAACCAATTAGACTTCACCTGTGCTATGACTGTACTGTGTGCCTGAAACAGCAATTGCTCTTCTGACCTGAAGCTTTTAACTCCTCGCCCTGTTGACAAATGGAAATATATACCCTCCCTTCTCTTTCCATATCTTGTTCCCCTTTACCCTTTATCCTGTCCCTCATCTTCCTATGTATCTGAAGCAGAACATAAGCCTAGATTTTCACAAATTCCGCAGAGGGATTTAGTAATTCAGTCAGTCACTGAGTTATTCAAAAGTGCTTTTCTTTCCAATAGTTTGTGGCTCTGAAAGGGGAGGCTTTCCCCCCCTTCAGAGCATGTAAGACATGATTCTAAATTTAATTATAATTCTTCTGCTTCATTTCTGTTATCCATTATTATTGTGGACAACATTAGTAAACTATAAATTTGTGTACGTGTGTGTGATCATTTGTGTGGTACCTGTGTAGTAAAGGCATATCTGTGTAGCCATCCCCAATAAAATCTCTGGCTCCTACATCTAAATTCTGAGGTCCAATAACTGTTGTCATATCTCTCTGTGTGTTGATATGTTAGGAGGTATTTTTCAACAGGATGCTGGTATGGAATGCAGCAGAGATCCATCACATCTATTCTTCTTCAGAGTAAAAGTGCCCAGCAGCTTAAGTAAATAAATGTGTGTGTTTGTGTGTGTGTGTGTGAGAGAGAGAGAGAGAGAGAGATTTTTGCTTTGCAAATGGATGACTCCAATCAATGGCTTCTGGTCTTTTTTACTTCATCCCCTCTTTGTTGCTATGCTCAGAGTAATGGGATTCAGAAGATGATCAGTCGTATCTGAAATATGATGAGAGAACTGTTGGTGACCCCTGTGCTCCTGTCCTCCATTTGACAGGAACCCACAGCAATTTCCTTTCTGAGGCTTATATCCATAACACATCATTAATACTTCCTGCAAGCGGGTCTGAAATATTGATGCTAATTGCTCTTCTAGTTCGCCTAGCAGCACATTAAGCAGGTAGAACTAACAAGCCACTTAAAAAAAATGAAACAGGGCTAATGGACAGCCAGCCTAGAGATGGGCCTTATGGCCCTGAATCCTCTTGGTGGGTTTTAAGGAAATCGTTTAGATTAAGTTTAGATTGGTCCTGGGTGTGCTTGGGATGATGGGCAGTGTTATCCAAGGCATGAGAGGGATAGGGTATAGGTTACAAATGGGGAATGGTAGCTTTCCGGATGGCACCAGATGCCAACTCCCATCATCCCCAACTAGCCTGGATCATTATCAGGGATGCTGGGACTAGGAGTCCAGCCACAGGACCACAGGGTCTGCTCTTCTGCTGTAAGCGGTAAAGGAGGCCCTGCTTTAATGTAACCCTTCCGACTGTCTTTTCTTGCAGGGGGAGCTGCTAAGCCCCTGTCGCTGTGATGGTTCCGTCCGCTGCACCCACCAGCCTTGTCTGATTCGCTGGATCAGTGAGAGGGGCTCCTGGAGCTGTGAGCTGTGCTATTTCAAGTACCAGGTCTTAGCCATTAGCACAAAGAATCCATTGCAGGTAAGCCCTGCCTGGAGGCTAAACTTTAGGAACAGGCCAGTAGTTGGAGGGGGAGGTAGGGGGATCAAGAGCAGGGGATGGAAGGCAAAGTGCCTCTGGCCCGTGTGCCTTACACACTCATCCTCTCTCTCTCTCTGTCTCTCTCTCTCTCTCACACACACACACACAGGGTTACCATCACATCCAGCTATTACTCCACCTGTTCCCCTCTGAGATTTGGGGCAAGATGAAAAGGTTCCCCAGAAATGTCTGTGTTCTTGGATGTACATCTCCCTTCCCTCTTGCCTTTCCCGTTCCCTCGCCCCTGCACTACCCTTAACAGCTCCAAACCCTGCTGGAGACGCTGCCCAGAGGGAGCAGGCTCAGCTTTGGAGCTGTCAAATTTACTCCAAATAGATCAGCAGAGGCAGTCAGGGGAGAACTCCACCAGGAGTCTCTCCCTGGAAGGGATCTTGGCAGATCAAGCAATATCCGCCCGTACCTCTGTGCCCTCCTGTGCACGTGCGAAGACTCTGGCAGACGATGTTTGGGCCGGAGAAGTTTTATACATAACCTTTATTTTTTGTCAGGATATAGCAAAACACTCTCCGTCAATTTTGGGTACTCAGTCTTCTCTCTGCACAGCCTCCCATCTGGTGAATTCCAGCTCTGTGTAAGGGGTGAATGGAGAGGGGAAAACTGTACCAAGTGACAGGCGAAAGTCGCATGTAGTGACTCCGCAGTGACAAAAGAAATGAATTGGTCCTGAGTCATGCACAGGCGGACCATTTGCTTGGCAACGTCAATCCTTGTCCTTAACTCCAGGGACAAGCTGTTCAGAGGGAACCTGCTTCCTCTCTCCCTACCCTGCTCTTTTCTTGTGGAAGGGACTGTAAGAGTTTTTTTTGTAAAAAAAGACTGTGCAAAGGATATAGGAGTTGAGCAGCAGGCTCCAGCACTGAAAGCTGACTAGCAGAGATGAAGCAACAACCTACGTTGCAAATATGTATGTATTGATTTATTTAGGCAATTTGTGTGGCTGCCCAACTCACCACAGCGACTCTGAGCAACTAACAGCATATAAGAACATGAAAAAATAAACATCGACAACAATATGTGCAACCCCCGATCCATAATACTTAAACCTAATTGTGTAACACCCACAACAACAAAAACCACAACTTCTCATGGGCACAGACTAACCTCCCAAATGATCAAACGATCCAAATACACCCTTTGGGATGGATAAGAGCAAAGCTTGTGACTTCCTTATCAACTGTATGCACACGTATGCTCTCACTTTTGTGCAAAGAAATACCACTCTCCCATTCCAGAATTAATGCGTTTTAAGTTTGCAAGGGGTTCAGTGTGATGGGGAGGGATACAGAATTGGCGACCCTCAAGATGTGGCTGAATGCCTTTGCCGCCCCAGTGATGAATGCTGGGAATGGTGCTTCAGCAATCTCCAGAGGGACACAGCTTCTCCCACCGTACTACAAAGAGAAGAAACACAAAGAGAGCTTGCAATTAGAATGGGAAAGAAAGCGGCATTAGGCTGACTCTGCTAATCCCAAAGGTGACTTGCATGGCCTTTATGGTGAATGGGCCTCTTCAGATTTGGACTCTCTCCATCCTCCAGGGTAGGGGTGCCCATCAGCCCCACAAGAGTACCAGCCAGGATTAACCCTGTTGGCTTGCTTTCTCCTTACAGTGGCAGGCAATTTCCCTGACCGTGATTGAAAAGGTGCAAATTGCAGCCATCATCCTGGGTTCCCTCTTCCTCATTGCCAGCATCTCCTGGCTGATATGGTCGTCCCTCAGCCCCTCAGCCAAGTGGCAGCGGCAGGACCTGCTCTTCCAGATCTGCTACGGGATGTACGGTTTCATGGACATTGTCTGCATAGGTGAGAGCTTCCTTTTCCCCAGCTGTCTCCCGTTGCTTGGAGAGTGACCGGAGAAGGTTTCTGCTTCCAGTGGCACAGAGGATGCCACAGGCAGACCGATGCCATTTCTCATGTTCTCTGATTCTTCTGTGAAACTCAAAGGAAAGGAATACTAGGGTGGATTTTAGCAGATTTGTACTGTAGTCGTTAAAGAAGTTCAGGTTTCCTGGACTGTCTCCTAGGAATTATCTTAAGCGTATAGAGACATGTCGGATGCAATTAGGACGGGCAGCGTGTGCAGAGTGAGGAAGTACTCCCTGGCAGACGTGTTTTTATTGCAGTCTGCTTGAGTTTGAGATTGCAACAGTTTGCTGCCATGCATTATCATGTTTTTGTTTTTGTCCTCTCGTTTGCATTTTTAAGTAACTTGGAAGGTTTAGAGTTCTTTGCCTGTTTGCAGTTTATGCAAACTTGCCATACTCTGAACTCAGCATCTTGAAAATCACTTTACAGTGTTCTGTTCCTCCTCCAGACAGTGCCAAGCTGGTTCTGGTTCTGATTCAGAGGGTTAACTTCTACAACCTCTCTAGTTCATCTTCAGAACAAATACGTATATATCTATATCCCAGTCACAAGCCCTAAATGGATGGATAATTATATCTGGATAATTCTAGAAGAGACAGGGACTGAACCAATGAACTGATTTTCATCGGGTAGTTCCAAGGTCCTCTCCCCTTCTTAAAAATAAACCCAAACATACCAGTGTGCATTATTTTCATAATTTGGATGCAACACAGAATCTAGCTGCATGTTTTTCATACAGAATTTTCAGAGCGCCTAAACTCAGTCCTAAAATTCCAGTTCCAGCAAAGGCAGGATGTACACTGTGATTCTTTGTGAGCATTTGCGGCCTGAAATAAGGGATTTAAAACATAGGGCTTCCTCACGGTGTCCAAAGCCACTGCCTTTTATTTTAGGACTTATGCATAATTTGTGAGGTTGCTTTTACTTTTTCTAGGATCAAGGTCAGCTTTGCTTAGAATAAAAAGTGGCTTTTAGTTTCCCAAATTTCCGACTTCCAGAGAAAGCTGGAGGAACTTGGGTGCTTAAAAGAAAGAAACACAAAGACACTCAATTTTTTAAAAATATAGAAAAATTATCCAGCTAGGTGGCAGCACCTAACCAATCTTAGCAGATCTCAAAAAACTGAGTGGGGTTGGACCTCGTTAGGGCTTGGATAGGAGACCACCAGGAAATCTCTGAGGTATAGTCTAAATTGTAAAATTAAAAACAAAAATACTGAAAGAAGGCAATGGCAAACTGCTTCCATATTGTTGCCAGAGAAACTACATGGACACATCTATGAATTCCCCAGAGTTGAGCTCGAGTTGGAGATCTTATCTTTTATAGGAACATTTAAGAAGTGCATCTAACAGTCATTAAAGGAGCCCAGCATTG